ATGGTTTTTTTGGTTATTTATAGTTTTTAGTATTTAAGACTTTTTAAAATTTGTTAAAGAACTTGACTCAAAGCACAGATAGTACACAGTACACTATTAGTAGTCCAAGCAATTGCCTCATTATTATTAATAAACCCTAAGCCGTAACAAAGGGAAAGTAGATTATGAGATTCAAGATGAGAGATTAAGTGTTTGTTAAAGATTCAAAATTGTCCAGGCCGCAAGCTGTAGAAGAGTCTAAGCAGCAAATCACTTTAGGTACAGAAGCTGGAGTGATATGGATGTCGAGCAATGGATCAACCTGTTTGACGGCTATATCAGGTAGCGCGCAACTAGTGGAGTCAAGAGATGATATTGATGAATAGTTCTTAGCAAACAATTCAGCTTTGTCTTTGGGTGAGGTGACAAAGTATGAACCATATAAAAGAGGTGGAATTACAGACTTGCCCTTATTATTGACACTATCAACGATTCTCCAGAAGTCACGAGAGTCTAACTTTTGTGATGAAATACGAGATTTCATGATCTGAGAAAAGCAGGCTTTGGCGTTAGACAAAACCTTTTTACAATGGTTCCTAGCAGTAATAAACAGACGTCTGTTTTCTGGAGAATTGTTTTGCTGATAGATATGGAAGTAATGGTTTCGATTGGCAATTGCAGCAGCACAATGTGAGGAAAACAATGGAGAAAAGTGAGGCTTGACCTAGAATCGTTGAGAGGGAATAATGGATTCCATGCCAGCCTGAATCCACGAAGTTATGTAAGAAGCACATTTCTCAATAGGAAGACGAAAGGTTTTTACCCAGGGGCCATCACGAAGAAAATCACAGAAAGAGTCCCAGTTAGCTTTAAGGTAGTTGTAAGATATACGATAATAGGGGGATTCTGATGATAAAGAAGAATGAGATAATAGTTTTAAAGAGACCAAACCATGATCGGAGACACCTAACTAGGAGCACTGACTAGGATCAGAAACTAGATCCCTCAATATGAAAGGGATCTTTAGAGGATAGAGCTGAATATAAAAACAGAGACACAAGCAAAACTCATGCATCGAGTCAAGAAGATCCAGCAATCAACATCCTAAACTGGAAACAATGTATTAAAAATACATCTGGGCCAGCCTAATAAATGAAGAAGGGGTGCAAGGCTGGTCAACAGGTAGAATCTGTTTACCCCTCAAGTCTTTGCCTAGGAGGCCTTCTACAAGACAGCAGCCGGATGCATGTAACATCTGCCAAAGGTGAGTATTTTTTACGAGACACCATCTCTAGCCTTTACTCAACCAAGAGCCCCAAGGCAGGGGTGTTTTATGTCAGAGTTTGCATCTCCTAGCCTTTGCCTAAAAAGGCGTATCCTACAAGGCAGCAGGACATGAAGCAGATTGTGCTGGGTTACATGTTACCAGTAGCAGGATAAACCTGACCTGACTTTAATATATATATATATATATATATCATATATATATATATATATATATATATATATATATATATATATATATATATATATATATAATATATATATATATATATATATATATATATATATATATATATATATATATATATATATATATATATATATGTATATATTAGGTTGACCGGAAAGTAATGTCGTTTTTGCGCATGTTGACATTCGATAATCGTTGGCCAGTTTATTGTGTATCTCGAACACGTGCACAGGTTATTTTTATATTAGTGTGACTTGTTTACTTCTAAATTATTTAAAATTAAATAGTTTTCTTTGCAAATTGGAGTGAAATGGCATACGAAATACAGGAAGTGCATATTCGTCATTGTATGCTTTTTGAATTTCGCAAGGGTAATAACGCTACAGTTGCGACTAAGAACATTAGTGATGTTTACCCAGGTTCATTAGATGTTCGCAAATGCCAAAGATGGTTTTCCAAGTTTAGATCTGGGAGTTTTGATCTTTCTGACGCCCATCGACCAGGAAGACCAATGTCATTAGACAACGACGTTCTAAGGGCAGAAGTTGAAGCAAATCCATGCCAAACCATCGAAGAATTGTCGAACACCCTTAACCAACCTTGGTCGACCATCCAAGAACATTTACACCAGATAGGAAAAATCAGCAGAGCAGGTGTTTGGGTCCCCCATAACTTGACAGTGCAAAACAAAGCCAACAGATCAACCACGTGCAATGCATTGATTCAACGGCACCATGCAGAACCGTTTCTTGATCGTTTGGTCACTGGAGATGAAAAATGGGTCCTATACAATAATCCAAAACGCAAAAGGCAGTGGCTCTCCCCAAATGAACCAGCACGCAGTACTGCAAAGTCGGGATTACACCCCAAGAAGGCGCTCCTGTGTGTTTGGTGGAGCATCCGCGGAATCCTCCACTTTGAAGTGCTTATTCCTGAACAAATTGTTAATGCGGACCTTTATTGTCAACAATTGGATCGAGTGAACCAAGCTCTAGTTGAGAATTACCTGGCTATCGTCAACAGAAAAGGTGTCATTCTTCAACATGACAATGCAAGGCCGCACTGTGCACGACGGATGCTAGAAAAAATTAATGAATTGGGATGGAGGTGCTGCCCCACCCTCCATATTCACCTGATATCGCCCCTTCAGATTTTCATTTGTTCCGATCCTTACAGCACTTTCTAAGTGACAAAAAATTTCAAACTTTGTACTGCTTAAAAAATGGCATCTCCAGATATTTTGATGACAAACCAATACATTTTTTTCGATCTGGTATAGAAAGTTTGCCCGCTCGATGGCAAAAGGTTGTGGAAAATGAGGGTGATTATATCATTGATTAAAAATAAATATTATAAAAAAATTATTTGTTTTAATTTGACGTAAAAATACGACATTACTTTCCGGTCAACCTAATATATATATATATATATATATATATATATATATATATATATATATATATATATATATATATATATATATATATATATATATATATATATATATATATATATATATGTATATATATATATATATATATATATATATATATATATATATATATATATATATATAATATATATACACACACACATATATATGTAAATATATATATATTTACATATATATATGTGTGTGTATGTGCGTGTGTGTATGGTGTGTACATAGTAATTATAAAATTAAAATAAAATGAAAATTGTATTGGAATTACATCTTAAAAAAACCAACGACATCAAAAACTTATGGGAAAAACCTATGGGAAATCAAAGTTTTACTACAAAGCCAGAAATTATCAAGAAATGAACAATTCATTCCTTTTATAAAATGGTCACTTTTTATCCTATGGAATTTTTTATCTTTTTTTTAATAAAAATATTGATGAATGTTAGAAAATCTTTGTAAATAAATATTAAGAATCTATAGCAAATATTTTAAACAATAGTTTCACTTCAGTTTTTGTTAATAAAGATAAGCATAACATACCATAGCCCCTAAATCTCATTCAATTTTAAAAAAATTTAACAGAGTGTCTTGTGAGTACCAATAGAAAGTTTTAAGAATAGGGACAGATCAATTTTTGAAAGTATGGGGCGTTTGATGCATCCTAGTGTGTGTATATATATATATATATATATATATATATATATATATATATATATATATATATATATATATTTATATATATATATATATTTATATATATATATAATATGTTTTCTCCCACTCGGAAAAAATTCAGGACCCAGCAATCGGCCAGTAAAGTCATGCTTACAGTAATCTGGGATATTCAGGTGCCAATTTCTTGTGATTTTCTTTTATGTGTATTTATTATTATATATTAATCAGTATGACAACAAGATTGGTACTGGGCTATTTTTTTCCATTCTAAAACCAATCAAGTTGCCCATAAATTTGTTTTTGAAAAAATACAAAAAAAAGTAAAAAATAATTTTCATAACCATGTTATCTGACTCTTTTAAAAGATATATTCTTTAATTCAAAATTGAAAAAACAGTTTAAAAATGCTTTCATTCAATTTTTACTAAATATATTAATAAACAAATTAATGAAATTAAGAAAAAATTTATAGCAATGTATGAAGTATGACAACATATAAAATTAATTATACCTTATCTACAATGAATGCACCTCATAAACATACTATGTTGCAATGCATTCAGTATTTAAATTTCAATACTTATAATATATAATGAAAAAACTCACTACTATTATCACATTTTTTTGTATTTTATTTCTGCCAGGTTAATATTGTTTCTGAATACTTATTTTGTTTTCTTACTTATAAGTAAGAAGCATTTATACCTTTCTGGCATAAATGCCTGAAAGGTATAAACGCTTTATATTAGTTACATAAAGTTTATATTATATTACATTTGTATATATTTATAATTTTATAATTTTAATCTAAAATAATTTTAATTTTAATCTAAATTTTGCTATTGTGTGTTTAATGAGAAATTTTCTACACTTCCTTTACGCGTATTTTTTTCTTCATTATGTGCTTAGCCACAAATCTTTCATGTTGCATATTTTATTCCTGGTTGTGTATTCAATCATGAATTGTTTAGGTTGCATATTTTTGATTATCTATTATGTTCTTTTCTCTTATGATATCTTACAATAATAAATTATTATTATTTATTCTGATTTTCATTCTCTGAAATCTACTTTATAACTCAAGATACTTATTTGTCTTTGTATGTATTATTGATAATATATTTAATTGCTGAGGATCACTTCCTTATTCATTTTTATAATGTCTCATTATTTTGTAAATTTTTGTTTTTGTATGTTCAACAAGTTCGTTTAATTTTTTTCTGATCTGAAAATCTGTTTAAGATCTTATTTGCTCAAAATTCATTTTTTATCATTAATGTATGAGTCATATTTCTTAGTTTGCTCAAGCTAATTTTAATTTTCCATGGTAATACTAACAAACTAATTTTGATAAAATGTAACAGAGATTGATAAAATATTTGTTAATTACTGTTATGAAATAATTTATAATTAGTTTGATTTTTACAGCTTCTTGCTGCGTGTTCCTGTCCTACTTTGATAGGTATCAATATTTTTCCTTCGGATGTAAATAAAAGAGCTCAGGAAATTCTTAGTAAAATAAACAATAGTATTGGTTGTTATAGTGTTCCTGCTGGTGTACCTTTAGTTAAGCAGCACATCGCTGAATTTATCCAAAAACGAGATGGATATTATTGTAATCCAGCCCATTTGTTTGTAACCAATGGTGCAAGTGCGGCTATCAAGGTTTCAAAAATTTTTCTTATTTTTTATTCAAAATGTTTTAATAAAGTTTTATATTGAAAATGTTTGATTTTAATGGAAATAATTTTTATTGAAAATGTTTAAATATAGGAATTTATTTTGTTATTATAGTTTGTGTTAAAAACTAATTTCCATCTTTAAATTTTTATTTTTGAAATTTGATTATGATTTTATTTAGCTTATCTTAGAGTTTTTCTCTCAAGAAAATGAAAAAGTTGGCATCATGGTACCAGTTCCACAATACCTACTTTACGCAGCAACTGTCATTGAATTTGGAATGAAGCAAGTAAATTTGATTTTGATTTTTCTCTTTTTTTCTGTACAATATAAACAGTTATTTAAGTTATTTTTACTGAAAAGTTTGTAAATTAAAAGTTTACTTATAAATGTTTTAAAGTTTATTAAAGATATAGCTTTTTTTTTATTTTAGCATATCATTTACTGTAATGTAAACTATATTGTAAATAAAAGACAATTTGTAATTTGTTGTGATTTCAAAAAAGTTTATAAAGATATGAAATTTAAATATATATTACTAAATATATATAATAAATTTTTCTTGTAAAATAATTTTAATGACTATATTCTGTGCCCTAGCATGCTAATGCTGTATTTCTAATACTTGCATAGTTGTTCTCTTATCTGCTTATCTGGCCCTGAAATTCATTTTGTAGCCTGACTATTTATCTATATAGTATTTATCTATCTTTATATCTGCTAAGTTTTAGTTAAAACATTTTTTGAAGATATCTTTTTATTTATTTTTTTGTTTGTTCTGACTTTAAACTATAGGTAAAACGATAGAATTTTTATTAGAATATTTTCTAGAAGTTCATCCATTTAATTTTGACCAAAAACAACTTTTTTATTTAAACAACAATACTAATGAGTTAGAGAATTAATATACATTCATAAATTAAATAAAAATAAACATTAAATTTAAAATCTGAAACAAATTTCTTTATTTTTTAAAATATTTAACTTTATTTTTAGGTGTTTTACTATTTAAATGAAGAAAGTTATTGGACTTTAGAAGTATCAGAGTTAAGAAATTCATTATTAGAAGCAAGAAAAACTTGTTCTGTAAAATGTCTTTGTGTCATTAATCCTGGGAACCCTACTGGCCAGGTTCTCTCTTATAATAAAATCAAAGAAATATTAGAGTTTGCTATTGAGGAGGGCTTGTTCATTATTGCAGATGAAGTGTATCAAGAAAACATTTATGACGGAAATACATTTCATTCTTTTAAAAAGGTATTAATGGATATGGGTCCAGTTGCAGAAGGTTTTCAGTTAGCTTCATTGCATTCTTGCTCAAAAGGATTTTTTGGAGAGTAGGCATTATTATATTACCGAATTTATTAAATGTAAAATTTTTTATGAAAACAACAATTTTGAATAACTTTTTGAATCTTTAAACAGATGTGGTTTGCGAGCAGGGTATGTTGAATTTGTTGGTGTTAGTGATGGAGTTCTTGCTGAAATAACTAAAATGCAATTTACTCATCTTGGTGCAAATTTAAGTGGTCAAATTGTTTTAGATTGTCTTGTACATCCACCTCAAAAAGGTGATCCATCATTTGAGGTGTTTTTAAAAGTAAGAAATCTCATAGTTTTTTCCTGCTTTTTAAAGTTTATGCTTTGTGATTTCGGGTGTCGTTAAAAGTAGATAAATCCTTTAAATATTTGTTAACTTCAATAAAAATAAATTTAAATTTATAGGAAAAAACGGACATTTTGTCATCTTTAAATAAAAGAGCTAATTTGGTTTATTCCGCCCTCAACATGATTGATGGTATTACTTGCAGCAAGATTCAGGGAGCTTTATATGCATTTCCCAAAATAACGATTCCTCAGAAAGCTATTGACGAAGCTAAGGTAACTTTTTTTTTAAACTTCTTTTTAAAAACTTTTTTACTGTAAGGAAATTTTTTCATGTTAAACTTTGTTTTAAATTTTGTGTTACCCAAAAATAATTGTTTTATAAACTTAATAAAAACTTTTACTAAAGTTACTAGGTCTTACACCTGATTCATTTTATTGCTTAAAACTTATTGAAGAAACTGGTATCTGTGCTTATGAAGGTAGCATTTTTTATCAGAAAGAAGACACCTTTCATTTCAGGTAAGTTTTTTTTTTCTAAATTCTAAAGTATATTTTAATTTTTTTTAGTTATATATATATTAATAACATTTTTTATGTAATAAATAAATAACAATAAAAACAACATAAGATGAGAGTGATATATAAGTTATATATAATAATATTTTTTTTTAATTGTTTTTATACTGTTTACAAAAAACCTTAATGAACAAGATCATTATACAAAAAAATAAGTTGAACATTTTACTTCCAGGGCTGTGATGGCTTTGAACTGTGTCGTTTTTTTTTAAAGTGAGCTTCCAAACCTTTTTCATTAGTTATAAATTTTTTTAAAATATAGAAACAATATGTTTAAAAGATTTAAAAGATTTATGTTAAATTAGATAAATTATAAAGAAACAAAGTTATAAAAAAACCATAAAAAGTTGAAAATATGATTAAGTATTTTTTTAGATCTATGAGAATATAAATTCTCTTAAAAATATAAATAAAAATATAAATATAAATTGGGATTTATCTATCAAAAAATAGATCTAAAATTTATCTATTAAACGCAACAATCTCATTGTTTGTAAACTCAAGCCGCATGTTGTTATAAAACAATTAAACACAACAACCTCATTGTTTGTAAACTCAAGCCGCATGTTGTTATATAACAATTAAACAACATTTTTGCTTTACTGAAACTTTCTTGAAATAAAAATAAAGCTAAAAACAATCGTGAAATCGATATCATTGTTCATTACTAATATCACAGTTATGATTGAGAGGCATTGCTCACATTGCTCATATATAACATATTAAAAACTTTCTTTGTCAAATTTGACATTTCCATTATAATGGATTATTTAAAAACTAAAAAAAAAGAAACTTATAACCTAAATTCGTTTTTTTATTTTTTTTATACCACATTTTATAGGTTTACAATGGAAACCGCAGTATTTATATTATCTTACACTTAACATTCTAAATTTTTTCCCTCTGCATCATATTAGATGATATCTATTGTTTTAAATGTTTTTAGAACATTTCTGACACAATTCTCTGAAATATTTAATCTTTGTTTTATTTCTCTATTACTGATCACAGAGCCATCCTTCTATTTTTGCTTCTTGTTTGCTTACTGTTTTTTTAGTTTAACTTTTAGGTCTTTTCAAAAGATTTTAAACAGAAATCAATTAAAACATTTTCAGATGTATATGTTTTTCATACTCCTTTGAAAAAATTGAAAAAAACGATAAGTTTAAAACCTAAGTTGATCAAAAAGTGAACTTGTTATAAAGTGAAGTTGTTTATTATAGAGAAATAATTTCCTGTCGTGCAAAATAAAAAAATAAAGCGTTTAACAAGATATGAATAATTTTTTATGTTTGAAATGAAAAAGTGAATAGATTATTTTACTGCGCTTATTTATTTATTTTTTTTGAAAGTATTGTATATGCAGAAAATTACTTAAAAAGTAAAATATATGTAATTAATATATATATTAAACTACTGTTCAGAGAATGTCTCATAAGCCCCTTATAATTTTCTTGCAAGCCTTTAGTTCTTCCTTTGCAATGCTTAATGCAGTGAAACAAAGTTTACAATCTTTTCTTAATATCAGAAAAGTCAACAAAAATATTTTATATGAATATAATTTGAACTAAACATAGTGACATAATGAATATATAAAAAAAACTTTTAAAAAAGTACAAAATAAATACTTTTTTCGGTAACCATTCCCGGTGGGGAATGAGCTAGTGACTAGCTAGCTTTATAGCAAGTTTCAAGCGATTTTTTTTTACCTAATGTCTTTAACATCATTAAAAATTCGATTTTTAGTGTTGTATCTTATAATTATGAGAATAATTGAACTTTAAACATTGCGATTTTGTAGCAATATATCGCTAGCTACATATCGTAGCTTTGTAGCTAGCTACAAAATATCTAAAAATCTATAGCTGGTTGGAAGCTACATATCAAAATTTTTTTGACAGAGATTTTATGAAGATATAACGCTAGCTACGATAGCCGGTGGCTCTTTAGCTTTTTAAGCTAACTATCCTCTTAACCTAATCGCTGTCTTTACAAATCGATAGCTTTTCGCTAACTTGAAAAAGCTAGATCCTCGTGGCCAAATCGTTGACTTATCGTTACAATTATAGTTAGCCATTCGCTAGCCTATTTCACACAGAGCATGGACTTCGTGTACGTGCACAATATATATATATATATATATATATATATATATATATATATATATATATATATATATATATATATATATATATATATATATATATATATATATAAACTCTTGCATGTCTCTTGCGTGGCATCAAAAAAAGTTTCCTATTAACTGTAGTTTTAAAGAGCGCGTTAATAAACCAGACCAGAAAAAGTTTTGACAAATAAATTTTTTTTTTAATTGATAGACTGCCTGGCCAAACCAAACCCTCAGTCGATGTAGCAGCACTCTCTTGCGAGTCAGGCTATTTGTCAGTCGTTGTAGCAGCACTCTCTTGCGAGTCAGGCTATTTGTCAGTCGATGTAGCAGCATTCACTTGCGAGTCAGGCTATTTGTCAGTCGATGTAGCAGCACTCTGTTGCGAGTCAGGCTATTTGTCAGTCGATGTAGCAGCACTCTGTTGCGAGTCAGGCTATTTGTCAGTCGATGTAGCAGCACTCCGTTGCGAGTCAGGCTATTTTTCAGTCGATGTAGCAACATTTACGCATGTTTTAAAAATGTTTTTTATTAAATCAATAACAAAAACACCACTAATTAAAAAAAACTTTCTAGTCGTTATAATTGCGGTTTTTTAAAAATTTTTTAAAAAACAATTAAATTTAATGTACTTCCGCATAAATTAATTGCTTTGACATTTCGATGACAATCAAAAACAGCTTAAGAGACGAGGTAATTAAAATTGTAGTCGTAAGAGACTTTTTTTACATTAAAACGCTCTTTCGACTACACTATAAGGGTATATTGATATATATATATATATTAATATATATATTTTTATATATATATATATTATACATATTATACATATTATATATATACATATTAAAATATATTTATTTATTATTGCAATAAATAAACATATTGAAATAAATGACTTTTTAATGTAATTATATTGTTGTAAACTCCAAAACTTTTATTAACGGGTTTTTAATTAGTAATTATCTTTAATATGTTTATACGGTTTTTAATATGAATATTTGAGGTTTGTAGAATAATATAAATTATTAATTGAATTTGTAAGTAAGTGGAAGTTAATGACATAATAGAGCAATCAAATAAATTTCTCGTGTTTATTGCGAGAAAAATATAAGCTAACCGGGCTTACGAGAAAAATGGGGCCAAAACGGAAAAAGAAAAAACGAAGTTCGTAGAACGATGAACGAAAAACGGTTAAATATTTATAAATAAACGGTGGATGATGCTATAAGAGTAATGGCTGATGACTTAAATGACTGATGCTTTGTGTGATTGTTAAGAAACAAAAAGGACTGTAATTAAAATGTGGGAAACTCTAAACCAGTTAGTAAAACGTTTTTAATTAGTAATTATTTTTAATATATTTATACGGTTTTTAATGTTAATATTTGAGGTTTGTACAATTAATATTGAAGAATAAATTATTGATTGAATTATTGATTAAAGAAAGAACCCGACAAGAAATATTAATGTGGGCCATGTATGGCATTTGCATGATAACCATATACTTGCCACTCTCTTTTATGGGATGGCGTTGGTGCGTCCCATATGCGGCTATAATGTTTATTCCACTATTTTAATAATTTTTGAAGCATGACTGAGTATGCCAATAGTTTGGTGGAAGTGAGAGCCAGTCTTTAACTTGTTGCCCAATCAATCAATCATATCAAAAATCAGGTAAGAAAAATCGTTAACTATGACAAATAAAGATGGTGGTTTTTTACCAATATTTATATCCATTTTATAAATTTCCTTAATATCAACTTTTACTTTGTTCTCAGGCTTATAGTAGTTAGAGCTAGACATATTTAAGAACGAACGCCACACTTCATTTGTGCCTGAAAGTTTCATTTAACCATATATTTACCACTCTCCCTTAAGAGATGGCGCTGGTGCATTTCATTTGTGGCTTTAATGTTTATCCCACTAAAAACACACTAAATAAGAGCAAACGCAACACTTCGTCTGCATGAAGAAGTCATATCTATTTCTTCAGTCTATTACTATACTGTTGAATTATTATATCCTATCAGTTTTCCCTATACGTAACCAGAAAAACACTATAGATTACAAAATTATCTTAGAATTGAAAAACTAATATACAAATTTACTAAATCGCCTTAAATTACTGCAAATTATAATGTAAATCGTAATTGGATCCAAAATTATAGGTTGATGTTTTAAAAACATTTTCGCTTCTGGGTTTATGAAATCTTGAAAGCGTACCAACAATTTTAAACTTTTTAAAGATTATTCAATTTATTTAAGAACCGGGATTTTAAAGTAATGTAATTTAACTTGTAAAAATGTACTCCGGTAGTTCATCATCAAAAAACTTTATGTACCTTAATTAAACCATAAAACTATAATATGCAAAATATGAAAGTTGCGATTCTATCTTGTTTTTGTTGCAACTTATTTGGCTTTAGATAAATACTTAACAAACAAAAAGCTCTGATATATATTTTTTTTAATTTGAAACCAAAGGGATTTTTCTTAGAGGGATTTTTTCCAGGGGGATTTCTTCTTATCTTTTTATATTTTCTTCCTATCTTTTTAGTTCAAAAAATTTAAATTAATGCAGAAAATTCAATACGTCTCAATTAAAAAGTGTGTTTGTTTACCTATACTTATTTTTAGTGACGCATTACTATACAATTTATATGCGGTTGCGGAAGTTTGCTAACATTGCCCGCTATTTTAAAATATAACTTTGTTTAAGTATAACTATGAATTTGTATTCGTTAAGTATAACTCTGATTTACAAATTTTATGGGGAGTTTATTTAGAATAACAATTCTCTAATATATTCATT